CACTGTGGCGTTTTGAGAAAAAGCCCCTTGTGGTGGTTTCTTCTGAGCTATGATTAGATTGAAGTTCCCCATCACCCTTTTTAATCTATGTTCTTAATCAAATCATGCTCCCAAAATTCGCTCCTTAACGCCGCTCATATTCTCTAAATTTGATTCTACATCGTCTTTGACAGAGGTTGTTGTAAATCACCAAATTGTTCCTTGGCAAAGTTGTTGTTTTCGCTTATTTGTTCGCTCTTATGCCCAGGTAAATCGTTGGAAATCATATTTTCCTCATATCTATTACGGATGTCATGGTGGGTGTGGTTGCAACGACGCTTCTTCAAGTGGTGGTGGTAGGATTCGTCTAGACTCATGGGTTGTTTTAAGGTTTTGGTTATGTTGGGTTTGTGGGATTTGTTTCGGCTTATGGTTAATTGTGGTGATATGGGCTAGTAGTTTTAGTGCGGCTTTTGTCCGCGTTAGTTTTGTTTTTAGCATGTTAATTTGTTGCTCTCTTAGGATTGGTATTTTAGATGTGTTGTTGATATCTTTGATTGTACCGTTGAAGTTTATTTAATGAAGTTTCTATTTGATTTATAAAAAATAAAAAAAGACACAATTTGGATTTCTATAATTTCAATTTCTAATTAGAAGTTAGATTTGAACAGGTGCACCCCTCATCTATTCACCCAATCAACTCACCGTCAAACGCACGGTAAATCGTGCTGGCACGCCCGTGCACCACCACATGGCACCAAAGAATGACGACTTGTGTTGACGCAGATCCCCTCGGCCCGGAGCACCAGGCCGCGAGATTTGTGAAGCCAACAGATGTGGGTTCTAGTTCAATGTCTTTTATAAGTTTGTTGTTACAAATGTTTAGACAATATTGAAAAAATTAACTTAATTCATAATATGTGTAAACAAAATAAAAAGTTTATTAAGTTATCCTATATATTGTTGTTGGGGTCTTTTTCGTTCCGGCAACTACAAATGGGCTGGGCTGCCGTAAGGAGCAAATTGGTGAAATTACCTCGTGTTTGAGTTAGCGAGAACTAGGCCCAAAGCATCCCGAAGGAGTAGCAAGTCCCAGGGGAGTACTCTGTTCTTCTTCCAGCGGCTGCGTGTTTGGTGCTGATATTTCCGACAGCTTGACGAAGAGTTGAAGATGACTTGCTGATGTTTCTGGCAGTTTGAAGAAGAGTTGAAGAAAAATTGTGAAATGACGCCTATTTTGGTGGAAATTAAACTCAGGATTTTAATGTCCAATTTCCACAATTTTTTCTGCCCATCGTTTAATAAATTACGCGTTTAAGTTGTCAAACAAGGAAATTATCAATTTCCCCTATTAAATTCCCGACTTTGAGCTAAATTCTGAGTTATTTTCTCTCATCCAAACAAAGGACACGAGTCAAAAATAGAAATAGAAATTTTAAGAAAACAGATCGAATGTATACAGCTCTTTTTTTTTAAGGGTTAGAAAAATGTAAATAGCTCTTGAGGTAAAATTGTTTCAGCATAGCATTTATAAGTGGTGGTGGTAGGATTCGTCTAGACTCATGGGTTGTTTTAAGGTTTTGGTTATGTTGGGTTTGTGGGATTTGTTTGGGCTTATGGTTAATTGTGGTGATATGGGCTTAGTAGTTTTAGTGCGGCTTTTGTCCACGTTAGTTTTGTTTTTAGCATGTTAATTTGTTGCTCTTTTAGGATTAGTATTTTAGATGTCTTGTTGATGTCTTTGATTGTACCGTTGAAGTTTATCTAATGAAGTTTCTATTTGATTTATAAAAAATAAAAAAAGACACAATTTAGATTTCTATAATTTCAATTTTTGGCAATTGAAGATTTCAGTGTTTGAATTCATGTATGTCGAATTTTGTAAACGACACTATAAAAATTGTGAAATGACGCCTATTTTGGTGGAAATTAAACTCAGGATTTTAATGTCCAATTTCCACAATTTTTTCTGCCCATCATTTAATAAATTATGCGCTTAAGTTGTCAAATAAGGAAATTGTCAATTTCTCCTATTAAATTCCCGACTTTTAGCTAAATTCTGAGTTATTTTCTCTCATTCAAACAAAGGACACGAGTCAAAAATAGAAATAGAAGTTTTAAGAAAACAGATCGAATGTATACAGCTCTTTTTTTTAAGGGTTTAGAAAAATGTGAATAGCTCTTGAGGTAAAATTGTTTCAGCATAGCATTTATTATAAGGTCCTAACTGTTAACTGTCACGACTCACGAATAAATATTGAAATAAAAGCCACTATGTGTCTCAACTCTTCCCATATGTTGGAATTGACATGAAGATTGCTCATGACATCTCTCTTTTCAACTGGAGAAACAAAACAAAATCATTCGTCCCAATTTTAGTACAATAACATTAATGAAGGATATTCCATTAGTAATGAAAAAGGGAGTTGAGGAGAGTACGCAGTAAAATCAACCCATTGAAACTATAGGGGACGGATCCCCTCAACTCCCTTTTTATCTCTTGCTCATAATCAAAAGTCAAAAAATTATGTCAATGGAGTCTAGTTCAATTAAAAATGGCATTGACTTGTAGATCAGTAGTCTCAGGTTTGAACTCCACGATGGTACTTTAATAGTGTTTGTATGTGAAAAAACCCTCTCCTCTAATATCGCTCGTATAAAAAAACAAAGGCAAAGGATTATTAAATATATGAAATTTTCAACTCTACTTTCCACAAGGATAAGATGATAAAATACGGTTTTTCTATATTGTTGATGATAAAAGCCTGGTTTTTTTTTTAAAAAAACATTTTGACTTGCATAGTATTTATTGCATATAGCTACAAACTGAGCCGGAGGCAGACATCCATATACCATATATATCATAAAGAGTGAGCACACAGTTTTACCCCAACCAAACCTAACACCAAACTTGCCTTCTTCATGTCATAAAAACCATCTTAACTCTCCAGCTTTCACTTTTACCTATCCACTTTGAACAGCTTTCATAAAAACAGTTCATGTGTAAAAAAAATTCATGGTCTCCACCTTACACTGTTTCTATTTAAATTCGACACCATGAATTATTATTTTCTTGTGTGTAGTCAAAATCTACACCATGAACGCAACTACGTCCCAAAAACCAAATCGAAACAGAAAAAGAAAAACTTCATAGGGATTTTATAAAAAAACATATTCAGGTGAGAGAATCGGACGCAATGTGTAAGGCGTTTATGTGCACTCTTACACTTGTTAAACTAATAATGAGAGATAGAAATTGAATCAGTCATTCATAGTAAAGTAAACCTGCATGACTAGCAAACTATCGATAAGATCGAAGAATGGCTCCACAAAAAGTACATATGATGGCTCTCCAAGATTTCCAATAAAATGGGACGTAACAAAATCTTGTAGCCGTCTTCATGTCGGCAACACTCGCTCCTCCGCCGCACCGTGAGCATATCCCTGCTGCCGGCTTGCTCCGCCGCACTTGCCTCTTCTGATCCACCAGAAAACAGAACACCACCATTCTGTTTTGGTTTCGGTTTCGGATTTTGCCTTTTAACTAATTTCTGAGGAGAGCACCCAAAAATGTGATGTGTTGCTTTTTTGGGAGCTGAGAGCAAGTGAGAACTACAAGTTGAGAAATACGAAATGGAAATTTATTGGTTTATATAATACATCAGAAGAATTATAGGTCGAGCAAGTTTTATGGTCATCTTGATTTTTGACCGTTGGATCAGTGTGGATTTGCTAGGTTGTGGGATGGAGATGTTCGTGGCTTAAGCTCCTGTTGCAGGAGAAATTATATAATGATACGGTATCACCACGTCAGCTGGTGATACTCCCACTTAAGATCTACCACGTGTCCTTTTTGAAAAGAAAATTAAAAAGAATTTACACCTGGACTTTGTCTTACAAGTTTACCCTTCAACATTAATTATCCTAACCCCTCTACCCCGTCTTCCTTGTGCTATCGACGCCACCTAGCTGTCTTTGCATCTCCCTCGCCACCCAGTCGTCTTCCCTCCTCCCTCACCACCTACCCGGCCTTTCCGTGCCTCCCATTCTTAGTAAAAAGTTAAACGTATTTAGAAAGCCCAGAAATCTTGAAAATCAGTGCAAACCCATTAAACATAAAACAAAAATCTTCAAAATCTCCTATGACGACAACCCACTAGTGAAAGAAGAGTATGTTTGATGTTGATATTATTGGAAGGGGACTACAGCCAAGCGGCGGCAGTGCAAGGTAGGTAGATTGCCGACAGGGGAAACTGCTACAGTCTTCTTGTTTTCTTTTTCCTGTTTTTTCAGTTCTTATTTTATTTTATTAAGGGTAAAGTTGGAAGACAAAGTCCAACAGTGAAAAAAAGTTAATTTTCTTTTCAAAAAAGACACGTGGCAAATTTTGAGTGGAAGTATCACCAGCTGACGTGGTGATACTGTATCATTGTATAATTTCTCCTGTTGCAGGCCTATATATTTTCGCCAACTGGCTGAGGATGAAATGATGGACAAGGGATCTTGGCCGTACGTGTGGGTGTAGATGAAGGGCTGACAGTGATCTGGTGATTAATAGGGTTCAGCTGATTCAGTTGGGAATGAATGTGGGTGGCAGTTGGTAGGTCCTTGGTGGTGATTTGGATTTGGAGTGGGCATTGGCCGACTCACAGTCAAAGCATTGTAAATCCACGGTCATCTTTCTTCCAACTTGGAAAATAAATAAATCGGTTAAGAAAAAAAGATGTTAACTTTTGTTTGTTTGCTGGGAAAATTGGAAAAAGATTTTGACTTTTCCACCATATGCGCATGCTACAATTAATATTTCGTTGTTTGTCTCGTCGGAACTTGTAATATCAGCAACAGAATTTTACCCTAAAACGATTAGCTCAAATTGACTCAACCAATATAAAACGTCACCACATGAAAAATATGCCCATTTTAAGGTGTCATCAAATCACATTTAAAACTTTGGTTGAAAAATCAATTTTATAAAAATACCAAGAGTATCAATCAAATGAGTAATTTCCCATGCATATTGGATGGTACACCAGCACATACAAAAATTTATCGAACTTTTTTCTTTTCTCGAACTTTTTAGTTTCCAACTTATATGATTTTTTCAGCTACAAATCACAATCCTTTGCTTAATAGTTAGTGGCTACAAATTGGTATTGGGATTACCATATTCATGAAATATGTCCATTCTTAAATTCAAGGACCTGCCAACTTATACCATCATAATATATAATTAAAAGATTATAAGTAGAATTATCTTCCTTAAAAGAAAAAAAGTTTATAAATAGAACTTTTAAAGCTATACTTCTTTTTGAAGGATCTCAGCCATACATTTTCCTTTCGTCTCATTTTTATAACGTGACACCATACAAGCACATGTATTTCTTAACGGGTAAGGAATGTAAATTAAGATGACGTGACACCATACAAGCACATGTATTTCTTAATGGGTAAGGAATGTAAATTAAGTTATCCAAGATGAAATGCTATGAATAAATTCCCATAAATTTATTAATTAATCAAGTAGTTCGCAACTTTTTTTATAAAATGTAGGGTAGGTTAGTTGACAAAGACAATGAACCCGATTTTTTACACCAAAATTCGATTCCCTCTCTATAGTTTGTAAGAAAAAAAAATTGCTCAATTTTTAATTTAAATTAATGATGTAAAACTTCAATATGACTCGAATAAAAAAGAGAGGCGGGTACTTCACCTAACAGGTTCTCAAACGGCTATATATTTTTCAAAAATCAGTTTTGGTCCGTCGTCCCCATTTTCATGAAGCTCGTCTTCAAACGCCATTGCAGCTCTCTCACATCCTTAAATATACAGAGCACCAAAAACCCATCACCCAAACAATCCCAAATCCTCCGACTCTGCAAGCTGGGCTTACTCTCCGATGCGATTCGGGTCCTGAACTCCATTGATTCCGGCGAAATCACCCTTAAACCAATCCTATACGCTTCGCTCTTACAAACTTGCACCAAAGCTGTTTCATTCAACCATGGCCTCCAAATCCATGCGCATGTCGTTAAGTCTGGCCTCGAAACCGACAGATTCGTTGGGAACAGCTTGCTTTCTCTGTATTTCAAGTTGGTTCCCAATATGTCCGAGACTCGGAGAGTGTTTGATGGTCTTTTTGTTAAGGATGTGATATCATGGACTTCGATGATAACTGGGTACGTTCGGGCTGGAAAGCCTGGAAATTCAATTGAAGTGTTTTATGATATGTTGAAGTTTGGGATTGAGCCAAACGCGTTCACTTTGTCTGCCGTGGTTAAAGCTTGTTCGGAGATTGGGAACTTGAGGTTGGGCCTGTGCTTTCATGGAGTGGTGGTGAGACGTGGGTTTGTTTCAAATCATGTTATAATTAGTGCTTTGATTTATATGTATGGGAGGAATTATAGATCGGTAGATGCGCGCCGGCTGTTCGATGAATTGACTGAACCAGGTGCTATATGCTGGACGTCGGTTATTTCTGCGTTCACAAGGAGCGATTTGTTTGAGGAAGCATTGCGGTTCTTTTATTTGATGCATAGATATCATGGGTTGTCTCCGGATGGTTTTACGTTTGGGACGGTTTTGACTGCTTGTGGCAACTTGGGGAGGCTGAGGCAAGGTAGAGAAATGCATGCTAAGGTAATTACACATGGACTTTGTGGAAATGTGGTTGTTGAGAGTAGCTTGGTTGACATGTATGGAAAATGCGGGTCAGTAGAGTATGCTCGGCGTGTCTTTGATAGGATTCCCAAGAAGAACTCAGTTTCTTGGTCTGCGTTGCTAGGAGTGTATTGTCAAACTGGAGACTTTGAATCTGTCATTAAGCATTTCAGGGAAATGGAAGAGGCTGACCTCTACAGTTTTGGAACTGTTCTTCGTGCATGTGCAGGTTTGGCGGCTGTACAACAAGGGAAAGAAGTGCACTGCCAGTATGTGAGAAGGTGTGGTTGGGGAGATGTTATTGTAGAATCAGCTTTAGTTAATCTTTATGCAAAATGCGGTTGCATAGATTTTGCCCGTAGAGTTTTCACGCAGATGCCAGTTAGGAATTTGATAACATGGAACTCAATGATTTGTGGGTTTGCTCAGAATGGTGGAGGTGCAGAAGCTCTTAGAATATTTGATAGGATGATTAAGGAGGGGGTTAAGCCCGACTATATCAGCTTTATTGGGGTTCTTTTTGCTTGTAGTCATGCAGGTTTGGTTGATCAAGGGCGAAACTATTTTATCTTGATGACAAAGGAGTACGGGATTAAACCTGGGATTGAACATTATTGTTGCACGGTTGATCTTCTAGGCCGTGCTGGGCTACTTGAAGAAGCTGAGAATTTAATAGAGAATGCAGATTGTAGGAATGATTCTTCTCTTTGGGCAGTTCTTCTAGGTGCTAGCACAACCTGTTCCAACTCCACTACTGCGGAGCGCATAGCCAAGAAAATGATTGAACTACAACCTGACTACCATTTGAGTTATGTTCTTCTAGCTAATGTGTATAGATCAGTAGGCCGATGGGATGATGCCTTGGAGATTGGGAGGATAATGCAAGATAGAGGGGTTAAGAAGACGCCGGGTAAGAGCTGGATTGAATCCAACAGTAAATTGGGTTCTTTTCTTCCTGTGGGTGATGTGGAAATTCCAAGAAGAATAAATTTTCCAGTTGTTATGGATATTGTTTGAAAGTGAGAAGAAATAGGAGTGAACCAACAATCCACTGTCGACCCATCCTTGATAAGATACTCACATTATGCAATTCAAGAAATGGTTGGTGGAGGCAATTGCATTGATGCATTCTTCTTAGCTTTTCTCACTTCAATATACAACTGGGAGTTCTACATTTTTTATATCATGAGAATTTTGGTTTAATCTCATTTTGTATGGTTAATTGGTGAGTGAGAGTAGATTTTGACCTGGACTGGTCAAAATAATCGGTTATCTTTTACTGTAGCAATGTTCAAATGAGATACCGATCACTTGCAAATTTTGGCATATCAGCCTGCATGAAAAATGAACAAGCACATAAAGCTTAAATCAAGTAGCAAAAATTGCATTCAGCGTTGGCATATTATTAAGATTTAATTTAACAAATGGGAAATACAATACATGTTTCGTCAAACCCAGTACTTTTTATACAATCTTCAAATTATTCAGCTGTTTTCCTACCATACATACACAGTATGAGATGCATGCGCAAATGCTTTTCTGTACAGTGTAACGCCATTGGGAGTTTTTCACTTCAAATAATTACAAATCCTCAAGATCTGAAGTAGTTTCATCAGGCTCAGCTTTAGTTTCGGAATCCGTTTGATGTTCTGAGTCGAACACATATTTCATCTCTTGGCTAACCAATTTGGCAAGGTCATGCCTATTGGCATCTGTATACGCATCTCTTACAGCTCTGAACAAGGATTCATTTGGCTCTATTTCTTCATATTTCATCTGGCTGTATATCCGCTTAACACCTTCAACCATACCAGCTTGACCGTAACAACCCACTAGGTTAATATACGTTACGAGGTCTGGTTCCAGGTCTTCATCTTGCATTTTCATGAACATGTTCAGAGCCCTGTCAATTTCCCCGGCTGCCCCATAAGCATATATAGCAACATTGTAGAGAAAAGAATCAAGTTTTACATCAGCTTTTGTGAATTTTTCGCACGACTCGAGCGCCATAGCATGCATACCAACCAGAGAGAAAACATAGGTGATGATAGCTTGCCTAGAGTAAGGTTTCCCTTCATTGTAAGATGATTCAAGCTGCGTTTCTGCTTCAATTGGAATACCTTTCTTCAATATAGTGAATAATACTTTAAAAGTTCCACTATCAGGCAAGAGTTTCCGAGTTACCATCTCATGCAACAATTCTCCGCATTCACGTAGCTGCCCGTTAATGGCATAACATGACATTACCTTGTTAAATGAACCACAGTCCCTTATTAGACCTGAAAGTTTCATTTCCTCTGCTACATCAATGGCTTCATCAAGCATGCCCACATTCTTGTAAAGATAAATCATGATGGCATATGTTATCTCATCTGCCCAACCCTTTGCTCTCAATTTTTCAAAAATCAATTTGGCTTCAGATACCATTCCAAGATCTGCATAGAGATTGATCATACTGTTAGATGCAACAATATCTCGGGGACCCTCTAGATCTTTCAGCCTCTCATAGAGTACTTTTGCTCCATCAAGGCAGTCCACCTTACCATAAGCCTTTATCAGGGATGTAAGAACTATCTGGTTTGCAGAAATCCCAGATTCTTCCATGTGGCGAAAATACTTAAGTGCTTCTTCAACTCTGCCAGATTCTACAAATCCATTGATTAAAGAACCATACACAAATTCATTTGGTCCTACTCCTGAGTTTACCAAGTCTTGGTACACATCAACTGCATCAGAAAGCTGGCCAAGGCGAGCATAGCATGCAATAAGAGCAGAGAAGGCTAGAGAGTGTGGCTTGAAACCCATTTCACGCATTTCTGTTAAAACATCCCTTGCCTGGTCCACCAAATCACCTCCTGAGAACATTTGAATGAGAGAATTATATGTGCATTTATCAGGCCAAGTCCCATGATTTCTCATGCCCTTGAAGAGAGAAAATGCTTTATCATAAAGCTTTGCCTTACCATAAGCTTTGATCATAACATTATATTCCACAACATCCTTCTTCTGTCTCACCGAGTCTTTCTTCCTATAGAATATGGCCTCAGCTTCAGTCCAAAATCCCTTTTCAGCATATGCATCTATAATTGCTGCACATGTCTTTGATGAAAGCCCACCATTTAATTGACATTTCTCATAAAAAACCTTCGCCTGATCAAGCTGTCCCTCATTAATATACATCTTGATTACACTAGGAACAGAATGCTCATCAATTCGCACACCAGATTTCTCCATACTCCGAATCACAGTTTCCACATCTTGGACCATGTTTCTCTCACATAATACATGAAGAACTGTCCTGTGAGATACAATATCTGGGGAAAGACCCACCTCTCTGATTTTCCTATAACAGTTCAGAGCAGCATCAATGTTCCCTGCATCAGCATACAGAGACAGAAAAATGTTATAAGTTCTTGTATCAGGAGATATTCCCCTTTCTTCCATCTTACTAAGCAAAGCTTCCGCTTCTGACAAATGCCCATGACTTCCACAAGTAAAGATCATAGTATTGAAAGTAATAGCATCCATTGCCACACCAGATTTCATCATTTCTCCAAACACATTAGCTGCATCATCAAGACGTCCTGCCTTCCCATACAAATCAATCAAAGCATTATATGTCGATGTTTGCCGTGGTTTTCGGATAGAGTTCTCTGTATCCGATGAGGCCTTAATCTTTGAAGTGGGAATTCTCCCACCTGTCTTGAAAAGCTCAGTGGACAAGAAATGCTTAAAACTAATAGGCTCTAATCCAGAATCATTCACAGAATCACCCATAGAATCCAAATCAAGTTCATCGAGCTCAATCTTGCCATTGCACCAATCCTTATAAAACTTATCTGCCCTATCAAACTCCCCTGCATCCTTCAAGGCCTTAACAACCGTATTCATTGTAACATCATCCGGGAAAATCCCCCTTAGTTTCATGTGCTTGATCCACAAAAGCGCTTCTTTCACAAGGCCTGCTTTCCCATACACATCAACTAGCATTGCATATGTATTGTTTGTCGGCAGAACACCTCTTTTCGCCATTTCAATCCAACAAAGCCTTAATTCATCCCATTTCTGAGCCCTACCCAGCTTTCGAAGCACCACATTATAGTGTATTACATTGGGTACATACTCCTTTTGTGACTTGAACCACTCGAAAACACGCACAACTCTTTCCCACCTTTTCTGTTCTTTGAGAATCACAGTCTGTTCTTTTGGATTCAAATTTTCGCCACACGAATTAAGGGTCTTTTCAACATCGTTTTCGGACTGTAAAGACCGCAAAATCGAAGGCAATACGCCTCCATACGCCTTCTTCTTACCATTAATTGAAGAACCTTTTGTGGGCAAAACCAATGTTTTCGAATCACACTGAAGCTTAAACCCTACAAAAGCCCTAGGACCTCTCGAACTCTGCTTCTGAGCTCGTGAAGTCACAACATGGTCAATATTTTGAGGAATGGACAAGGCATAAGGAACAGGATACAGTTGCCTTCTTGCTAAGCCGTGATTGTGGTGAGTAAAGTTAAATTCTAGAAAGGCCCTAGTTCTGAAAGGACATTGGGGATTTCGAAGCTTACTTGGTGAGAAGGTGCGGTTGTGCATTGAGCTCTGGAAACTTTCTTGCCCTAATTCCATGGAACTGCAACTCTGGCTGTGAAGCATCATGGCTTTGTGCTTTGAGTTTTGAAACTTGGTACTTGGGGCTCAGGGTTTTTCAGCTCCTAAAGAATTAGGTTTAATGGAGGACTTAAGTTTCTCATTCCTGCTGCAGCCCCTGGCAGTTGGTCCTCTTTCATGTAGGAACAAGCTGAGCCTCAGGGCTAAAACCGACAAAAGAAATTTTCGAAATCTTCGTTTTTTTTTCTGTTTCAGTCTTTGAACTTTCGTCTTATCTTTATACTTTACCAAAAAAAACGAAGTTTATTATTAAAATAATATTAGACAAAATATTCTGTTTATCCCCAGAAATAATTGAACAAGCTGAGCCTCAGGGCTAAAACCGACAAAAGAAATTTTCGAAATCTTCGTTTTTTTATTGAATGTTTTTTTTTCTGTTTCAGTCTTTGAACTTTCGTCTTATCTTTATACTTTACCAAAAAAAAGAAGTTTATTATTAAAATAATATTAGACAAAATATTCTGTTTATCCCCAGAAATAATATTTTTTATTTTTTGTTTTTTGTTTTTTTTAATGTGACCATGCTCATAGCCTTCGCAAGACGGCGGCCATGATTTTTATATGGTTGGCACTGAAAAAATATTGGAGAGGAAAATTGTTATGGCATTTTTTCTTTGATTGTATTATAAGAAATTAGGTCAAGTATGAGAGTACTCTCTCACAAAAAGTGGGTCTCGGAGTTGAGACACATGCAATGCTTAATGCTTTTGAGACAGCCCTACACAAGACTGATTCACGGGTCTTATTAATGCTTGCTTAACAAAGTCATAAGAAATTCAAAATTGTACGAGACAATGAAAAGAAGCCTCTCTAGCTTGATTTATCATGGGCTCTGTGACTAAAATTTCAACTATTCAAGGACCAAAAGTATCAAACATAAAGAGTGTTTCTCTAGAATCAAAAACGGGGAAAACGATATTTCAAGGTTGGACTCAAAAGAGGCACCGTCCATCTCTGACTGCACAACTTAACAAAATTCACTACTATACGAAATCCTTTGGTTTGTGAAGAAACCATTAAACAAAAAGAATGTAAGAGAAACCGTGATCCTAACAAGTTGCTATCCAAAATCCTTTTGGTTTTGGTCATTTCACATTGCTGCCATCATGGTACTTCTTGCTGCCTCACGCTTCACCTCTTCAGCCTTTCCACTGCCTCTGAAATACGTGTATACTTGCTGCGAATACGATACGATGCAAGAAGAGTAAGTTTCTCCAATGAGGGGAAGAAAAACGACAGAGTAAAAGCCAGGAGAAAAATGCAAGTCCATTAATCATCTAACCTGAATAACCCAGATGCTGAGGAGTGTTTCACAGACGAATAACCCAAATCCAATGAAGTAAAGTATCTGAAATGAAGAAACAAAGTCTTGACGGGGTCATCAACTCAAAATAAAACTTCAAGATCAAACCACTGTCATAGCAATCTAACAGTTCTAGTTCTTTCCATCATATTGAAATTCTCATCACTAACACCACTAGATTGTTGCCTAGCTGAAAAAGAGACTTATCTCTGTTGCAATTATTCAAGGAGAATATCCAAGCCAACATAGAATAATGAAAGCTCGAAACTTACCCCAACCCCAGCATTGTAACCCAGCAGTTCTATTGCAGGCAAAATACCTCTGTACACAAGATCACACCAAAGAAAAATCAGTTTCAGGAGGAAATATATTAGTATATATTTGTGATTAATAGAAGAAGATGTACTACTAGAAGAAGGCAAGGTTTTCTATTGGGAGAAAATTTTAGATGACAAGATCTGCTGGACATTATCATGTTGGATGGCACATCCCTTACTCATTTGTACTTATTCCCCCTTCATAAACGAAATAACTAATGTAACAGTAGTCATTAGTAAACCCCGTAGACTGCACAGTTAAGAAAACTTACGTGATAGATTTCCCTTTGAAGACAATTGGAGGAGCAATTACAGCATAGATGCAAAACGCAATGTGGAGCTGCAAATAGAGAAACAGGGCATAGAAGTGAGCCAATTTTCACATAATCTTGAATGCAGAAAATATAACTTTAATAAGAACAAAAATATACGTACCAGATAAGACAAGAAAAACCCAGCAAAACTCAGAGCACTGTCAGTCCTGTAAATAGACAGCACACAATTACAAGTACGAATCCTAATATGTTAGGATGAAAAAATAACAGAAAAAGAAAAGAAAAAGATAGAAGATATGCTGGACAAATGTTGTAGAAGTACACAGTCATCAAAGTGATCATTTGCATAGGCCTGAAGCCTCATATACAGTTTTTTTCATAGTGATGACAATAAGGTCATATCCATAGAATCATAAGTACCTCATAGCACGATAAAGCGGGCGATACCAGAGGAAATAGGATAGCGGAACACTTGCTATGAAGTAGATTACAGCCAGAAGCCAAATTATTGGACCTGCAAGAAGATAAAAGTTCAGACTAAATTATGAAAGAGTTCATTTATAATGGTTAATGCGTCTACACTAAGTCACAGATCAAACCTTCTCCTTTGAACCAGGCTACGGTAACAGCCAGAATATTCCAGAGAAGACACACAATCAAACCTGAACAATGCCATAAGCTTAGTCAACTTAAGCAACCACAGAAAAATTTGACTTAATTAGTTAGATCATCTTTTTGTACAAACAATTTTTAACTCAAGCTACTAAAGTAAATACAAGGAAAAGAGCGAGAAACAAAAAATCTACAATCAAATATCATCTGGCCATTGAAACAGCTGTGCCGACTATCACAAAAGAAAATAAACAAAAATTAACATACCCAGATATGTTGTGAACGCAACATACTGGATCCTCTGTAAATGGATTGGTATTTCGTTTGCAATGTCATGATGGATGATGGGGAAAAATGGAGGCCAGTTTTTCTCCTCTATAACAATTCCAGCTGCCAAAACAAAAAAAGGGAAATTACAAATTGGACTTTGGTGTCATAGTCTCTCTCAAGCGCATATCAGAAAATGGATAAACCTCGTGCTATGGCGTCTTCCCGCCGCTTTAGTTCCTGAAACAAGATGATGGCATTATGAATTCCACTTACTAAATACAAAATTAATTTGTCTAAAAGCATAAAATTCTCAACTAAAATCAATGTTGCACGTCAAAATATAAACTAAATATCGACATACCCGCAATAAATTGATAATTACTATAAAAATAACGGTCTGGGACTCTGTTTACAAGTACATCAATTATATTTTATAAGCCCTTTGCAAGCATCATATGAGTTATAATGGGCAATTACCTGTTCCTTCTTTTTCAATTCAGCCTCTTTTGCGTGGAGTTCCTTCTCCTTTGCTTGTAAACTCTACAGTAACAAAAATAATAAGAAACAATAAATCATTGCCCGTTGACAAAAATAAATAAATAAATAAATCATTGATCATAAATAACAGATAGAAAACTTTAAAATATGATTCAACATCTTGCATATGCTGAACAACCTTTGAATTATTAAGAGGAATATCAATTGTTGCATTGCGATCATAGGGTTCAGGAGGAAGAGGTGAAAGCCTCGAGTTTGCAGGGGGGACACTTCCAGGATTCTAGAAATTTAGAAAAACGCAATAAGATGAAGATTACAGAAAGGGAAAGAAAAAAAAATCATCTTTGCAGAAATCATCTTTACAGAGTCAGCACATCAGGCAAGCACAATCACACCAACAATGCACCATGAACCCATTCAGATTCTTGAGTTCTACATAACCCAAAACAAACAAAAAAAGTGCCTAAGATCCGAACCTTCTAATTGTTTCCCTTTTCTTTGTTTTCTAAGCAACTAAACTGACCATTGAATAACAGAAACAAAGAAACTAGAGATGAACATAGCTACACAACCTACATTGTGGGTTTCAATTCACCGCGGAATCAAATACCAAACAGAGACCCAAACCAGTGAAATGAAAACACATTGAAGATTTCAAACTATAAGCCAGGATTTCAACATATCATCAATTCCAATTCCCAAAGGATCATGTATATGTAAATACATAGAAACGTACAGAAATCGCGATTGAAGATAGAGACTTCGGTCTATAGACACAAAAACACGTATGCGTAAATGCAGGTCTGTATCGGAACTTACCGCAAATGGATTGACCTCTTCATCGGCGAAAGGGTTAGAATCGTACCGATTCATGGGAGCGATCCAAGCTCTGGTGACTGTGAAATGACAATGGGCTCTAAATTGGGAATGTGGGAGTTAGAGTTTTCGGTGATAAGGATCGTCGAACATGGAAAAACGAGAGAGACGGTTTTTTCTTGTGGTTATTGGTTTTAAGGAAGCGAGAGACAAAGAGAGGCTCTTGGAGCGTACGGCCTTCGTTTTAGTGGAGCTGTTTGTTTCCTGGGAAAATTGAACCAGAAAATCAGAGACGAGATTATAAAGGGTGTTTGGCGGGGAAGGCCTATAAGTCTGTAACTTATTACTGTGCGTGGCGTGGGGCCTTTAAGAGAATATTTCAGTCTTCAGACATTAAAAAAAAGGGCCAAAACTATATTTTAATAATATTTATTTCTCTACAGTAAGATTTGGAGACAAATATTTTTTTGTTTTTTTAATCGGTTTTTAATTTATTTAGTGCTATTTATAATTTATATACATTATAAGACTGTCACACTCACTATGTTTATTATTTATAATGTATTGTCGAAAGTAAATAAATATTTGAGAAGCAAATATCTATAGAAGGAAAAGGAGGAGATATTCGCGCTCAACCCTTGTGGTGGCCTTGCACTGTGGGAGTGCATTGAGGGAGCGTGAATAGCGGTCATTAAGTAAAACCACAATTCACTGAGGTAACAAATTAGTTTTAACACCACTAATTAACCGCTAGTTATAATTAACTTCTAATCCCTGAGACAGAAATTGACCATGATAGTCTAGGAGCTCCCAATCTTCAAGGAGCTAATTGTGCATTAGTTGGATTGGATTAAACCACAATGACGGTCATATTATCTTTTGCATTCGTATACATGGGCTAGGCCAGTTGATCAGGACAATGAGTCCACCTCCCTCACACTCAAGTTCGCATACATGGAAATCCAAATGCCGAATTCAATATGACGTGTTAGTTAAGAAAAGTGCTAACATCAGTCGTGGCATGAATTAGTGTAGGACCCACATTGCCATGTCAGATGACTTCACCGCTGGTGCAGTCAGAAGATGTTGCTAAAATAGTAAAACTACACAGGCAAATGCGCTAACAACCTGAAATGGCGGAGAAAATCTAATTTAACCCATCCTTTACAAAACTCATGATGTATATGCGTTATAAAATGGAATAGATTACATTTTGAATCGGTAGAAACCAAGTTCGTGAGGCATCACAGAGCTAGCTGAAAACGTTTCACTACCAAGAATTTATAGTGACAATTGACAAATAATAATAGCTAAACAATTGGGTTAGCTCAACTTTGCAGGACAGACAAACAATAGAATGACCACAGAGTATCGAACACCAAAATCGGACTGTTGGAATGTTCACATCCAGAACTTTGTGCAGCCGGTCGTGGTAAAGAAGCTTGTGACGCAGATATTGGTGGTGTTAGTTTGGGGCCATCATCTGCAGCCTGTTTACAAAGGATGTATCTTCTTGGTTCTAGCAGTAGTCACAACTAGCGCGCACCCCATCATTGATAATCTGGTCATTAGGTCTTTATTTCACAAAGAAGTCAACCTTCACTTGATCCACTGCCGTGAGGCTCTCGCCGTATCATGTCTAATAGGTCTTGCACGACTTCAGACATCAGTGGCCTGAACTCTGGCTCGGACTGTAAAATACAATTCACATTTTTAGGATTATGGTTCTCTTTGGAGTCGAGGTGGTGAATAACAACTAAAAATATAGTGGGGCTCATGTCCCACTAATATGGTAAATTAAACTTATGCTTCTTGGTTCTAGCAGTAGTCACAACTAGCGCGCACCCCATCATTGATAATCTGGTCATTAGGTCTTTATTTCACAAAGAAGTCAACCTTCACTTGATCCACTGCCGTGAGGCTCTCGCCGTATCATGTCTAATAGGTCTTGCACGACTTCAGACATCAGTGGCCTGAACTCTGGCTCCGACTGTAAAATACAATTCACATTTTTAGGATTATGGTTCTCTTTGGAGTCGAGGCGGTGAATAACAACTAAAAATATAGTGGGGCTCATGTCCCACTAATATGGCAAATTAAACTTATGTTTTTGAGCATTTGAAGCATTCTATCTTTACTGAACAGAGATACCAGGTAAGCTAAGTTTACCAACCCAATGGTGCCCTTTTTGAAGAATATTATGTCACAAATTCCATAAAACAAAGTCTAACGTAACTGTATAACTTACGATGTCAAAAATGGCATTGCTCACCTGAACACATCGAGATATAATGTCTGCAAAGTGTGATAAAGACTTCGTAGGATATTGTCCGTTTAGAGAAGGATCGACCATCCTTGATAATGCATCGATGTCATGAAGCTGAGTAGTGGCCCATCTAACAAGGAATTGCTCCCCTCGATTCCTTGTGCTGTAAACTCAAATTTTCAAATACAAAAATAAATTAAGCAGGGGTTGGTGGAATAATGCGAGAATGCAATTAAGAACTTGAATTTGCTAGTCGTTCACCTGTCATGGGACTTCCGGCCTGTTAATAATTCCAGCATTACCACCCCAAAGCTGTAAACATCACTCTGATGAGTGTAAATTCCTGACTCGAATTCTGGAGCTCCATAACCATAAGCCGATAGCAGATGTCCTGACAACTGAAAGTACGATGCAATTTAGGAGTAGTAATAAGTAGTACTGGTGATGACCATAACTAGTCATCATTCGTTCAATTGTTCCACACTGCAAATCAACCAATAGAAATGACCAAAAGCCTAAGCAGACAATCGAGACACTGCATGCCTTTTGAAAAAGAAGTAATACGGAAGAGTGGTAGTCCAATAAGCAAGCTTCAAGATCAGAAGGCGAAATCAACCAACATGAATGACCTAAAGCTACAAAACCATCTGAGAAATACAAATCAACCAATCGGAATGACCTAAAGCTACAAAACTATCTGGGAAAGAAAAGCAATATTGGCTCACTTAAGAATGCAGAATTACATCCATTTAAAATGCAAAGAAATCATTTACATTCTTACTCTTTCTTTTTCCTAATCTAGACTATATCTATATATAATCACAATGGAGAAAGCATTCACTGCACCAAATTCTCTTGCTAATTAAATCCATGTTGAAGGAATACAACACATGTCCTCCAAAAAAAAACCCTTAAACTGTCAATGTTGGTCTCATGACCCACGCTGTTGTAAGGAAAAAAAAACCTGCAAAAAAAATGTAGAAATATGACTTACCTGACTTACAGAACCTGATGATATCAATGGAGCCAAGCCACAGTCAGAAACACGCATGGAAAGGTCATCATCAAGGAGAAGGTTGGCAGACTTGAAATTTCTGTGTACAATAGGTGGCTGACAGACCTCATGTAAATACCTACTCAAACAAAACAAAGGGAGAGTTAGACTCACTGTAGCTCCTATCAGCATATGATCAGGGAAAAAAAAGTCCTACATGAGTGGGTTCAGAAATTGCCATTGCAATTGGTACTCACTCTAAGGCTCTTGCAGCTCCAAGTGCCATTCTAATACGAGCATTCCATGGCAGTTTCTTCTTAAATTCATCATCTACGTGCAGAGCATCATGCAGTGAACCATTACTGCAGTACTCGTAGATAAGAAGCCTTTGACCATGCTCTGCACAGTAACCGATGAGCTCAACAACATTAGCATGCCGGATTCTGTCAATGTTGTTTACCAGTTCAAGAAACTCATCATCCTTCTGCTGACTGGAAGCTCTCTTGTCCAATTTCTTGACTGCAAGTAGCTACAAAAGCATCCCAAAAGATTAATGTCAGTTTCTGAACTGTTTTGTACATATAAACAGAAACTGCTTGATTACATGAGATAAAAGCACATGACACAGAAAAAAATATGAAATAACTCTCTTCGTGCAACCCTTTATCTGATTAAAAGGTGAAATCCAATAGATATTATGAAGTCCTCCTCAGTTTGCTTATCAAGTTTCACAGCTTGCTTTTGATCAACCTGAATTTGCTTATTTATCAAGCTTGACACTAGATTTCAATGAAAATGGAAACCATCTACACATTAATTCATTTGCTAGAAACTTATCACAGAATGAACATGAAGATTGAATCTACATATAATGAATTAGATGCACCCATTCCATGTGGTTATTTTGATACTAGATCAATCATACTGTTCAGAAAAAAACTCAGATGGTTGGAAGTACAAATAGCAGATAATAAATAAATTGATAAACAAGAAGGCTGTTTAAAACAATCAATCAATGCTGGTGGACCTAGCACAACAATACTACAAAAGTGCAAAATAACAGGCACCTAACACAAATTTCAGTCAACTACTCATCCATGAAGCAGTTGCAATAAAGCAAAACCAATCCATAAATCAGAAACAGACCTTTCCATTAGGAAGCTGTGCCCTATAGACACTTCCCAGCATGCCTGCTCCTAGAAGATTATCAGGAGAAAAGCTGTTTGTATATTGCTGAAGGGAAGCAATGGTAAAAGACTTCGCAAAAATTGCAAGGTTTGGATTTTTAGTGGAAGGCTTCAGTTTAGGCAGTTCAGTTGGCACAAATGGCTTCACAATGACCTTCTCAGCAGGTGGTGGTGGAGGAGGGGGAGGAGGGGGAGGAGGAGGAGGCATCAAATACGCATCAAGTGCACTCAAATCAGACTCTTGCCTTGGTACTGTGCCCGTCCCTTGGACATTTCTATCTTGCTCATCATTTGGCTTTGGAATTGCCCATGTTCTTCTGGTTTCTGTTTCATTATCCTCTTTGGGCCTCACAACTGCCTCTTTCGGAACTGTTCACCATAATTTTAGTGAATTGCTTACAATAAGATGCATAAATATGAACGATCCAAGAAAGAAAAATATACTTAAATTGGATTGAATTAAAAAGTGAGAGAATTTGCCTTTCTGTATTAGATTGGTTGGTTGAACCAAGGAACTATTGTCCCTGGGAGGTTTCTCCCTGTCACCCATATATGCACCTATTTGATGCCGCTTGGAAATTCTGTCCGCCTCTTCTCTTCTGCCACGTCTTGGCATAAAAAACAAAATTGCTAGTAACAAAACAACAAAAAGCAAGACCCCACCAATTGATATCCCAACTACCCTTTTAGTAGTTAAAAATTTCTTTGATTTTCCAGAATTTGATGTATCTTGTGAAGATGGTCCATCAGCCTGTTTCCCAGGTGTTCTTCCAGGTGTTCTGCCGGGTGGTTTTCCAGTAGGTGGTCCCCAAAAAGACTGTGGAGGTGGGAGTGGAGTCGACAGAGATGTGGGTGGAGGGACTGGAGCAATAGAAGAATTGAATGGATTCCCATCTTTTCTGCATTAAGCATATAAGAATTAGTTATGTGGAAAAACAACTATAGTATCCAAATTATCAAGCTCTCTTTCCTTGATAACAATGTATAACAGAGATCAACAACTTAGATTCTGCATATGATATACTGCAACAGAACTTAATGCTTCATTTAAGGATAAGTCTACAATGTGTGTGAAACTGCAAGCAATCTCTTCAAACTTTTGTACTCCATAATCCTCACCTGAAATTTGGGATGCTCAGCAACTTTTCAGGTATGGGTCCAGCAAAAAGGTTATTCTCTATATTCCTGTTTAGTAAGGAAGAAAAATCATTTATAATGGGAAAGAAACACTGAAAATGAGAAGGCAAGATAGAAATAGAAACTTCCGAATTCTGTATATGACAAATAATTGTTTAGATGATTACAGGTCACTTAGGGGAAGATCCTGCAAAACGTCTAGGGTTCCAGACAGCTGATTGTTCTGCAAATGTCTGCCAATAGAGGAGTTAGCTCTATTCATCGACACAAAAGATACATAATAAACAAGGCTTACTTAGACAAGATACTCACAGAGTGGTCAGAGATACTAGGCTTTTTAGAGAGGGTGGCAGTTGCCCACTCAAATTGTTACTGGACAAATCTCTGCAAAGGTTAAATGTGTGTATAAGCCTGAAAAGCGTACAAAAGTAAAACTGGGAAGTATAAGCCTGAAAAGTTCAGAATAAGAACCTACAAATTGATCAACCCTGTGATGCTCTGAAAGGAATCTGGTATTTCTCCAGTTAAAAGATTATTGTTAAGAGACCTGATTGGCAAAATAGTTTATCTTAGAAACAATCCTATAAAAAACTGAGAGCTGCTGTACCAAAAGCAAGAAAATGACTTACATGTCTGTGAGTTCAGCCAACGACGCTAGAGAATCTGGGATGCTTCCAGTGAATTGGTTAGCTGAAAGAAAACTGCCAAACGTACGTATAGACTATCATATGTTTTGCATAAGTGAGCATAATAGATAGGAAATAATCAGCAGTCTCAGGCTAATATTTGATATATGCAGTATAAAATTATAATTTCATAAGAGGGTTGAACATACAAGTTTCGCAAGCTAACAGGTAAATTGGATGGAATACTTCCCCCAATATGGTTGTTGCTTAGATCTCTGCACATAAACACCAATGTCGATAATCCACAAACTTATCAAAATTTCAAAAAGAAAAAACTTATGCATGAAGAAATGCAAGATATCATAATATGAGGAAAGCTAGTCCTAGATCTTTCCCCAACATTTTGCATTCTACACCTCAAGCACACACAGACTAAACAAGTCACCTTGGCAAATGCAAAACTATCATCCTAATGAGCATTCCGGATAAAAGCTAGTGTATAATGTTTATGGGCCCCACACTATCATCCAAAGAAAACAACTTAAGAGCAAAACAAAAACAAAAACGTACAAGCACAAAGATTAAAGTAAAACCGATTTTGCATGCACAAAAAGCCCCTACATACATACTAACCAAACCTAAATCCACTCACAACCACCCCTTCATGCATATCTTCCTAATTTGCCTGTTATCTCTTAAAATGAAGACTAAAAGATTTTAATGACACTGAATCAAGAAATAACTTGGAGCAAAAGATATAATAAAACAACATTACACACACACACACACACACACATAAAGTTCCATCAGAGAGAGAGTACAACTTACATTGCCTGTATTGAAGCAAACATTCCCAAGTTTTCACCCAGTTGTCCTCCCAAATTAGCGCCATTAAGAACTCTATAAAATCATTATAATCATGAGACAGCTGAAAATTAACATGCTGAGAACGACCTGTCAACAAAAGAAGTCGAAGAAAGAAACTAACATACATTCTCAATATTACAGAATCGTTACACTGAACGCCTTGCCATGTTTCACCACATGGGTCTCCTCCAGCAGAAGTCCACCCAGGAAGAACAGGCGTGCCAAGTGCAGCATGTAAGTTGTTAATCGCAGCAACTGACCAAACCAGAAGTAAGCTCAGATAATAAGTGTTTATAGCTCCAATTAACTATAAAAATTTAGAACTAATCAAGAAAACATGTTTACACACAATTACACTAGAATAAAGCATTCAATTGGTGAAAACGACGACGCCGCCGAAGCACATTATCAAAAGATTTTATTTTCTTTGAAATAAGTAGGGAAAAAAAAGACATACACAAAGTTATACACAGAAACAACAGAATAATGAGTTTTGATTATCTGAGAAATCCAGCCATAAGAATAACCAAGATTTAGAACTTGAGCACCCACTCATTTTCCCACATAAGAATTTTAATGCTGAAGAATGGCCATTAAATGAAAATGGGAAAAGGCTTACCATCGGTAGGACTAGTGGCTCCAAGAGAAACTTGAGCCAAGCAGATCAATATCAACCCCAATGAAACCTGTCCATGGATCTTCAAGTTCTTGTACTCTAACACAGATCTCTTCCTACCCATTGATCCCAAGCTGAAGTTTACTTCTCAATTCCCTTTTTCATAAGCAATCACTCACAAATCATCCTCCAATCTGAAAAATAAACCAAAAACAAAAATCACGTAATTAAAATAAAATATTAATATCCAAACAGAAAGCAGCCCTCGTGATCCCAACTGACCACAAAAAAGTTAGCAAACCCACTTGCCAAAACTCACAGATAAACAACATCATAATTTCACACACACATATACACAGGTAAATGATTCATGTAAAAACAATGGCCTGAACTTACAGAGAAAGTGGAGAGAGAAAAGAATGAAGCAAATGCTGAAGGAAATTGAAGTAAATGAAGCAAGAAGCAGCAGTGAGGAAAAATGCAGAGAGCTTTGTGGATAAAGTAGTGAATTGTTTAAATGTAGAATTTAACAAGAGAAAAAAAGAACTTAAGAGCTAAGATTCAAATGAATTACGCAATGTAAGTGAGGCACTTAAACAGAATTATTACATCATAATCCGAATTAACAATTACCAATATTAATCCTTTTTAGCCTTGGAAGAAAAGAAAAAGTTGGAAAAAGGCAGAGGAAAATGTAGAAAGGTACGGTGAGGAAGGAGAAGAGAAGGAGGTGCTCTGAAGCTCTGAAACTCTTCTCCCTCTTTCTTTGCTTTCTTTGCTTTCTTTCTTTCTCTCTCCCACCACTATCTCTCTTTCTCTCTCTAAACTTCAGCTCAGGAACAGTCTATGTGTGTGCGCGTAAGTCATACATATCTCTTTGTATGAAAGGTTGAGCATAAAGCCCACGCTCGTTATGGCGCGCGCGTCGGTTTTATTTCCTTTTTCGGAGATTTATAATTTTATCTTGTAATATCACCACAAAATTAAATTTTAAAAAATCATTGACTTTGCTTTTACTTTTTCTGACTCATATTTAATGGATAAAAATAAAATATGTAATCCAGATTAATCAGTTACCTAATGAGCCCTCCTAATAGCCATTTTATGTTCTCTCCATGATGATAAATATACCATTAAAGTTGCTTTGTTTGGATAAATTAAAACGTGTAAAGAATAGAAAAAGACCGTAAGGAAGTTGAATCAAAATCTAACCAGCAAAGTAAAAGTCACACATACTTTAGGCAACAAAATAATTAATTCAAAATATACACGTAAAGAACAAACAATAAACACACTAAAAATATAAATTATGAAGGAAGAATCAGACATACATAGTTTTTAAAAAAAAATTCTTTAGTAAGAAAAACATTGGCATATTAGTTCTATATTTTTCTCCCTTTTCTGTATTTTTTTTTATAAAAAAAAATTCAAATAAATTAGTGATAAGTATTTGCATGGGTAGCTCAGCTCTGCCACGCATACCGCGTGAGCGTGACGAAGTGATTTAAGGGAAGCGGAAATTATTTTTATTTTTTTTACACCTAAAAACAGTACACGTCATTAATAGCCGCCAGATTTTCTATGGGCTTCACGTGTTCCGTCGAATGATTGTTATGGGCTTTGTATCCAGCCAATTAAAAGCCCACACAATTTATGAGGACATAATTTTATCTTTTTTTGTTTTTTTTCCCCTTATTTTTCAATATTTATAGTCACGAAAATAAAATGTTTCATGAAAACGGTCACAATTTTGGACTTTTTCCCAAATTTAAACCGAAAAAAAAATATTGGACGAGTATAAAAGCCTGTTTGGATGAGGAGCGTTACTTGGGTTGGAGGTCAGTTTTTGTCATAACGTGGAGTGTGGGGAATAAAATGAAGGGTGAGGAAAAGCGACTTTTAAGAAAAGCAAAAATTTTCTCTTATCCCTATCGGTTTCCAACGGACGAAAAGAAAAAAAAAGTCACAAGTCATAAGAAAATAGAAAAATCGGATCTCGAAAAAGGTTGGCGGTCTTTAGCTGTCATTCATCGCGGCGGAATCTCTCTGATAATGGCCAGTTGAGCCACCGACTAAAATGACCGAAAACGACAACTTCTTGCGTCGTTTAGTTCACATCATCGTATTATATTATAGTGTCTCTTTTGTCTCCATAAAAAAATTGAGTTTTGCATAAAACCACAAAGCAATGCCACGGCGACAACACCTCAGCTGAAAACAGTGCGCTACTTGCGTTTAGTCTTCCTTAAACCAATTTATAGTTAAAAATTATGAAGAGATAATCTTATTTAGCTGCTGATTATATTATGTGGCAAGCTGCGTTAATTATACTGATACTGTAGTTTAAATAGTTAAGAGAATTTAACTCCATACATGATGTATATCGTGTTTGATTCTTCTTTTTTTTCAATATCATTTTGTGTGAGAAAAATACATACACACATGGAGGACCCGATGTCTCGAAAAGAGTGGAAGAAAAACAAAACTTGTTGTCTCTAATATCACCGGACTTTGAGTGCAAGGTTAAATATTTTTAACTACTTGAGTTACAAATCCCCTTATCACCAGACTGTGTAAGATGTCAAATTGCCACATCAGTCATCAAATTTAAACTTGATGTTTGGTATTTGACATCTCCCTTGGAGATGCTCTTACAAGTCGTTTTAATATTCGGTTTAACAGAGAAATGGAATACTAACTGACACTTAATTTAGTTTAATTAGAAAACGAAAGATACAAGAATCAAACCATGTATTGCCAGTCATTAGTTTTAAACATAATTTAAACCCAATCCACGTGACTGGCAAAATGAAGAGAAGAAAAAAAGAAAGATAAAAGAACAAGGCTGGATATATAAATTTGGAGGAAATTAGATAATATTAATGAATGGGCAGATCTGGTACTTGGAGTTTGGAGGAGAAAGACATAGAAAGCAACCTCTTAACTGAACTTAGGCATTAATAATAATTAGTCACACTCATAAGAATATATAAAATTTAGTGGATGATAAGCTAAGATCTAACTTGGAGTTTGGAGGAGAAAGACATAGAAAGCAACCTCTTAACTGAACTTAGGCATTAATAATAATTAGTCACACTCATAAAGGATATATAAAATTTAGTGGATGATAAGCTAAGATCTGGTCCAAATTCTCTCTAGGTCTGTCTGATCAATGCATACATGTGACATGTCATGTACATCTAAGTTCTAACTGGACATATATCCCTAAAGATGTATACATGATATCAACAAGCTGTTTCTTTCTTCTGTCCTTGTGTCTATTATTTATATGTAGGACCTTCTGTGGTGCCCCAGCACCTTTGAATAGATGCTATTTGTTGACGACTTAAGGATGATGCCCAAGCTTATTGGCTGCAAAAAGAGAGTCATTTTTCAAAAAGGAAAAGCCAATTAACAACCAATCGGAAATCGACACGCTTGAATTTGATATATTTTTGCTCACTTTCTCTTTTCAAAGCTCTCTTTTTTTTTAATCAACGCGCAGAGCTTAAGCTCCAGCCTACCGAGTAATATTGCCACGTGATGTTATTAATCTACTGATATTATAACATGTTCATTTTTTTTGAAACTATATTTTTTATGTCTTAAAAAAAATGGACAAACAAGAGAAAGACCACGAGGTTTATGTGGTTTACCCAACTTCAATGAAATGATAATCGGGTTACGTTCACGAGGTTTTTATTAATGTATTTCATTATAGTGCACCCTTATGTGATACTAACATATATCCTAAAGTGTAAATTCATCGCTTCTTTGTGTTATAGTGTAGGTTACATTGCACACATTGTGGCTGATAGACTTGCTAAGTTTGCTTTAGGTAGTGCGTCCATAGACGTTTGGCCTAAAGAGGGTTCTTCATGGCTCAATGTGCTTCTTCAAGATGACTATGATATTATGGAGTTGTCATGAGTTTTTGTTTGTAGCCTTTATGGAGCGTGTGACATTCTTTTTCTTTCGTCTTAGGTTTTGTCCTGTTGGGTTTTCCTGATCAATATTTTAATGAGGCCACATTTGTTTGCTCGAGTATGTAACCTATCACAATTTTAATGAAAATTTACTACTTCTTTTGAAGAAAAAAAAAATTATTTGTCTCGAATTCATGATTGACTCGATTTCAAGTAATTAAAAATATGCGTTATTTTTAGCACATCAAGGTTTATGAGAGAGCTTTTATTTATTTATTTATTTCTAATATAAACGATAATCTAAATTATAAAAGAGTGAGATTTCTTACACACCCACACAACTATGATGCCGTAAAAATTTGAACATGAGACTTATGGTCTGCAAGTTTCCACTGAGCTAGATGCCATTTGCTATGTTGAAGGTTCAATCTAGCCGTCTAATATTGAGGAGTTCATTGATCAAACAGCTATTGTTGACCCCTCATTATAGCCCAGGTCCTCGATAGCCGTTCAACATAGGCTAGTCCCTCATTATAGCACCACTGGGTTTCTGATATTTTGGGCTACCCATTGGCCCAAACCAACCCAATTTGATAAAACATAAAAGGCCCTAATAAAGTTAGACATGGGCCATTGTTTTCAGATCCAAAATTGTCTGCGCCAACCAAACGAACCACCAAATCTCATCTCATCACCTTTCTTCCTCATCCTCGAGCCATCTGACTCTCTCCGTATCGCTCATCACATTATCGCAAAACCCACATCGGAGAGAGATGCAGACCCGGTTCACAACCCTAGTTGCTCGAACTCTAAAATCGACCACGCGGTCCTTCTCGTCGTCCACTCAAACTCCACCCTCAACCACCACAACCTCCTCTCAATTCCCACAGACTCTGGCAGGCCTGCGGGCCCGCCTCGCCGCCGAGTCTCCAGTTCTGACGGACTTCGTGGAAGGCGAAGGCCCATACTCCGTCGAAGTTGGAACCAAGAAGAACCCTCTCCCCAAGCCAAAATGGATGAAGGAGTCAATTCCCGGCGGCCAAAAGTACACTCAGATCAAGAAGAAGCTCAGGGAATTGAAGCTCCACACGGTGTGCGAGGAGGCCAAGTGTCCCAACCTCGGTGAGTGCTGGTCCGGCGGCGAGACCGGCACCGCCACCGCTACGATCATGATTCTCGGTGACACGTGCACCCGCGGTTGTAGGCAAGTTGTTCGATGAAATGCGCTTGAGAGCTAGTCGCTGTGCTTTTTTGGTTTTTGTTTTGATGGGAGTTTTTGGTTGTGTGTTAAAATTTGTAGATTTTGTAATGTGAAGACTTCGAAGACTCCACCTCCTCCTGACCCCAATGAACCGTCGAATGTGGCGGAGGCAATCGCGTCATGGGGTTTGGATTATGTGGTGATTACTAGCGTGGACCGGGACGATTTGCCTGATCAAGGGAGTGGGCATTTTGCGGAGACCGTGCAAAAGTTGAAGACGCTGAAACCCAGTATGCTAATTGAGGCTTTGGGTATGATTTTTATCTTTTATTATATTTTTTCTGGATTATGAATTTGTGTTAATAATATTGTTTAAATTAGGATGATAGAAATCAGCTCAGTATAGAATTCAGAACATTATGTTGAGTGGACTAAAGATTGCGTTTTGTATGTATAAATGAATGGTTAAGAGATTATAGCTAACGGATGTTAAACCTGGAAATTATGTGATTGCAGTTCTTTTATGTCTAGACTTTTCCGGTGTTGTTTGTTTTCCATATGCGATGTTGATTTGCCATGTTTTCTTGTAGTTCCTGATTTTCGGGGAGACTCCAGCTGCGTAGAGAAAGTTGCAACGTCAGGATTAGATGTTCTTGCTCACAATATTGAGACAGTTGAAGAGCTTCAGAGGGCAGTGCGGGATCATCGTGCCAATTTTAAACAATCTTTAGATGTTCTAATGATGGCCAAAGACTACGCTCCTGCTGGAACACTTACAAAGACTTCAGTAATGTTAGGTTGTGGGGAAACACCTGATCAAGTTGTGAGGACAATGGAGAAGGTGAGAGCAGCAGGTGTTGATGTGATGACATTTGGTCAATACATGCGACCTTCGAAGCGCCATATGCCTGTATCTGAATATATTACTCCTGAAGCTTTTGAGAAGTATCGAGCTCTTGGCATGGAAATGGTATGCTTTTATCATTTTAACTAAGCTGGCTATGCTATTTGATTCCATGTTTCTTTGCAAAACAGGTTTTCCCATTTTCTCTTGTAGTTTGGAAGAAAAAAAAAAAGTTTGAGCACCGGTATAATTAGTTGCTCTCTCATGTCATGCTAGAGCACAACTTATAAACAAATGATCTTCTGGCCCACCTCACATATAAATTTGGTTACAAGCACGTTAGGCAGCTTTGGTCTCTCCCAGGTCCTATACCTGGAAACCAGATCAGGGATCAGGCAAGGTACAGCTATATCGAGCCTGGTTTACTCTGGATGTGGTAACATCATGTTATGAATATTTTGACAACTACACAACTGAGTGTCGTGAATATATGAATTGATACAATACCATCTCATTCTATGAAGCTACCAGTTCAATCAATGGTTTATTTTGAATGTTACAGGGATTTCGATATGTGGCTTCTGGTCCCATGGTCAGGTCGTCATACAAAGCCGGTGAATTCTACATCAAATCTATGATAGAATCAGATCGGGCCACTTCTGCGCATCTTTCTGCCTCATGATAAGTGGGTTTGTTTCCTACCTTGTCGTCTTTCGACAAAGCGTCGGTCTGTATTCTTTTCCATGGGCTTACTCTCTGTGTTGTACAATTGATGATTATAGAGGGCCCAAGCTTACATGGTCTTGTTATGATCTCTTCCAGTTGTATGCTCAATTCATTGTAATTATCAGACACCACTCTGCTCTGCTGCTCTATTGAGGGCTTATATCATTGTGATTGTTGCTGTTAATCAGCTTACTAATAGAAAGAATAATTGATTATTCTTCAATGCCACATCCATTATACATGCTGCTCCCTTTTTTGATTTTGGATTCTAGTTCGGCACTAAACCCACACGAAGCGACTGATGTGGATGGCAAGAAGCTGCCTTGCAATACAATCCTTTTACAGGCAGTGTAGTTGATAATATATGCTTGCTTATAAGTCCCATATGTTTGGGTCTACTTGATGGCAATGGCTTTACGGCATATGCCAAAATCATTCATATCGTCGCAAAAGTGTACTTGAAAACCATCTCTCTTCTTTTATGTTGTAGCTTGCAATGATCCTAGGAAGGTTTGCCAGACTGGTTGCGGGTCCTCCTTAGTACTGGACCTACTAGAGTCTTCTTCACGCCCATATGTTTTCTCCTTTCGTTTTATATTGAAGATCAGCGACTCTAGCATCTGGGGACCATATTTGAGATGTTGGTGGCGCATGGGCATCTTTTGCTTTTGGCGTTGTTTTTCTAAATTTTTGTACGTACGAAACCTTTATGTTTTCTCTCTATCTATTCCTTCCTTCTTCTAAAAAGTTTTTGTTGCTCCGTTTGGGAACCATAATCATTCATTGAGCGTGCTGTGGTGAGAGAGAGGTGAATATACCGCACACAAATATATATATATATATATATATATATATATATTTGTGTGCGGTATATTCACCTCTCTCTCACCACAGCACGCTCAATGAATGATTATGGTTCCCAAACGGAGCAACAAAAACTTTTTAGAAGAAGGAAGGAATAGATAGAGAGAAAACATAAAGGTTTCGTACGTACAAAAATTTAGAAAAACAACGCCAAAAGCAAAAGATGCCCATGCGCCACCAACATCTCAAATATGGTCCCCAGATGCTAGAGTCGCTGATCTTCAATATAAAACGAAAGGAGAAAACATATGGGCGTGAAGAAGACTCTAGTAGGTCCAGTACTAAGGAGGACCCGCAACCAGTCTGGCAAACCTTCCTAGGATCATTGCAAGCTACAACATAAAAGAAGAGAGATGGTTTTCAAGTACACTTTTGCGACGATATGAATGATTTTGGCATATGCCGTAAAGCCATTGCCAGGCTTGTTGTCTCGGCACCACCAAGACCCCAAACCAACACCCTCACCACCACCCAAATGGCCCCAACAACCGCCACTTCCACGCTAGATCTTCGGTGACGGAACCCGACCCGACCCATATCCAGAAAACCCAACTCAGAGCCTCGACACCGCCGCCGCCTCCACCTCCTCCACCGGTTGTTGAAGAAGAGTCAGTGAAAGAGGTTCTCTCCGAAACCCCCATCTCCAAACCCCAAATCCCTAAAATATCCCAAGACCAAAACACCCATCTGCCTCCGAAATTCCAAGGAGAGCTTCCCGATTTTCCTCCGCAACTCCAAGCAGAACCCATCCATTTTCCTCCGAATCCCCAGGCAGAGCTCACCCATGTTCCTCCCAAACTCCAAGCAGAGCAGCCCAAGGAGCTCTCCGAGGAGCCTTCTCAGGCTTCAGAGCTTTGTGGGGTTAGCGAGAGCTTCTCATTGTCAACAACCACCACCACAACCACCATTACAGACGCCAGAGAAGACGAAGCTACGAGCAAGCGGAAGAGAGACGTGGGTCACAGAGACAGGGCGAGTGGGCCTTCTTCAACGACGGCACGCTGCAAGCGTCCTTACTCCGGCGAACTCGCCGGCCGGAGAGAAAAAGGAGTCAAGCTCCCTGCGAGGGCGCCGGAACCAACAATGGGGAAGAGGAATCGGACTGAAACGAGGTCGTCTCGAGGGCGGGAATCGGGTCAGCTGAGGACCATGCAGCGTGGCGCGGGCCCCACCGGCGTCAGGCGTGATGCGGTGTCGTCCCGGTCGAGGTCACCAGCTACACGGACGGCCGGTGGTGCTGGTCGGGCAGCTGTAGGAAGGAGCCCGGCGAAGGTGACTGGACGAGCCACTGCCGGTGGCAGTTCATCGCAGCAGGGAGCAGTGGAGAGTGAGGGTAAACAAATTAAAAAGGAGGCGGAACCATCAAACGACGGCGTTTCGCATCCCCAGAAGCAGGGGAACGAGTCCCTTGAGTTAGAATGCTTCATCTTTGTCTAAGTCTGCTTTTTCACATTACTGGTTGCATTTTGTGCGAAATGTTTTTCTTGGCTTTTTTTGAAAGCATTATGGAATCGAGCTGTTTTGATGCATAAACATGTGCTGATAAGATAGATTAGAGCAGCTTCAAATAGCAATAAGGGAAGTGCTTTTGAAAAAATGGGAAATTGATTTTGCTTTAAAAAACAATGTATATATATATTCCCTAGAGATGGTATCATCAGGATTGGGCTGTGTCTTTATCTTTATGTGAATTAGTGTTGAGCATCCTTGTTTTTGGGACTTTGTCTTGTGATTAATTGTGAATTAAAACCCAATAATCTTTCTTTGTTGTGTGTTGGATTGCAGCAGCAGCAGCAGCTGACTTGCTGAGTTTCATCTTTCTTCACCCTTCTTTCCTACTTATTTTTTCAAAAAATTTTATTCAAAAAGTTAAGATTTGCAAATCGTCTAGGGATATGTACTGGACTGGAAATGGTCCTCCTCCTCGAATTGGCGGTATCTTCTCTTGGAATGGAATGGGATGGGCGGTGGGAAAGACAAAGACTTTTTAGTTCTTTCCCTTTCATTGGTTTTGGTGTAACTTTTTGGGTTTTGGTTTTGGTCTTGGTTTTGCATACAAATAATACAAAACTATCCCCCAGAATTTGTTTCTGCTTGTACGGTCTGTACTCAGGAACATTTGGTGATTTGGTAGGAAATTTCCTCTTTTTTGTTTGGTAAATGTAAATCAATGTAGTCTTTCCAATCTCTCTTTTTTAACTTTAAAATTGTGAGGAGTAGATTAGACTAGTTGATTAGGACAGGGAGCTCGTCCCTTGCACCTAAGTTTGAAACTCTCTTTTCGTAGATTATATTAATTTTTGGTAATTTAAAAAATAAAAGCCTTTAATTGTACAGGTTCAGTGGTAATCTTTTCTGAATCGTAGCTGACTCTCTAACATTTCTTTTGGGCTTTAGAAGGTGAAAAAGCAAGTAAGCCCGTTTGAGTGAGTCATTCTATTTTTGTTTGGTAAATGTAAATCAATCGTAGTCTTTCCAATCTCTCTTTTTTAACTTTAAAATTGTGAGGAGTAGATTAGACTAGTTGATTAGGACAGTGAGCTCGTCCCTTGCACCTAAGTTTGAAACTCTCTTTTCGTAGATTATATTAATTTTTGGTAATCTAGACTATCGTTTGTATTAAAATAAAAAATAAAAGCCTTTAATTGTACAGGTTCAGTGGTAATCTTTTCTGAATCATAGCTGACTCTCTAACATTTCTTTTGGGCTTTAGAAGGTGAAAAAGCAAGTAAGCCTCGTGAGGGCCTTATATATAACACTTAAGTAAGGTCCTTTAGACGCTTTGGTGGGATTGGCAGGACCAATTTGTGGATGGTTATTTGATTTTCATCCACTGCAGGCTAACAAAGCCACAAACTTAAGTTACATAGAATTCAAATGAGCTACCAAGAAAACATATACATAAGTGGAATTTACATGTCCTTGTGCTGATGATGAGTCTTTCTGGTTACTAGCTTCTTTCCTAGGTTCAAAACACTAATGTGATTGTCAATAACTAACCCAAGTTTTAATAATGTCTGAAACTAAAAGCACTTTTGTTGAAAACTAGGTATGATTCTAGGTATAACTAGAAATTCAGCTTGAGGAGGAGGGGTTGAGGCATGGCTTGTGTTGATGCAGAGGCCACGCGGCGCGCTCTCTGGGGCATGGTGCAGGTGCAGGTGCAGGATGTGCAATGAAGGTAGGAATATCTTCTCCAGGCATCACCACAGAAACTTCTCTGGCATAACTTGTCATCTGCACAAATTCAATACAAAACTAGCTTACAACTCAATTTCATTAACAGACAGCGCAAAAGCACAAATAACAAGCAATTACAAATAAATCCAAATCATGGAAGCCACTTTTCTGGCGTGGTTGGTGGCTTTTAAAGATTCAAATGCAGCAAAGCAAGCCCTTTTACTTAATCATTCTTGCAATCCAAGAATAGAACATGAATATGAATATGATAATCACTCCTTCACTAGTGGGTTAACAAAAAGTAAACAAATAACATTAAGAAATTTCCTTCACGTGAATTGTACACCTTCTAAAAATACTAAAGCTGTCTGCAGAATACTTAACCCTCTCCTCAAATCAAGGCTTCTCACAAACCAAATTCAACTATGAAACATCAAAAGATATTCACAATTCATCGATCACTCAATGTCGTACGGACACGTGGCACCCGAACATAATTTGTTTTATTATGCATAAGAAACAAATGAGTTGGTGGTATGCCTGTTTTTGGAGATCATACAAGGCAGGCATAAACATTTGGAACATCAATCACATGGTGAACATAGGTCCTTGCACCATGTGGCTAAGTTTTGCCATTCCCATGCTTAAAATCAGGGTTCATGGCTATAGTTGGTCAAAGAACAAGTACTTGATCAGTATATAAATCTCATAATTTTATAAATAATTGAGTCAAAGAGTCTGCTTATTGCTTGATAGTCTACCTAAAAAAACAAATTAAGAACAGTCCACAAAGCATTACAAACATTAATAATGAGAAATGGTTTGAAATGATGATTTAAAATCATAGGTTTTGGGATATTAATAATCAAATAAGATTGCAAGTAATGCAGATCCTATAAACTATGCAGCCCACTATACAAATGGAAGCTCCAAATAACTCACTGTCATCTTGATGAGATTGTTACTTAAACTAAAACCACTAACCCCTCAATTAGCTAAAGAGCCTAACAAATGTGACACTATTTTAGTGAAACTAAAAGACAACAACAAATTCTAAAAGACAACAGCAAATTCTAAAAATAAAAATAGGTTTCTGTTCTGCTCTTTCTTCTGTTAGTGACACTATTTTTTGTTTTTGTTTTTGGTGGAGAATGACAAACCCATTTTCATTTTGGACGAAATCCAGTGAAACTGGAATCAGCTTAGCTATAATTGGAGCCCCATAAAAGAAAGTAAAAAAAGTTTAGCGGTGAACAAGAGAAATTAAATGAAGCTTACTTTGGGAGAGTGGTGATCAAGCTTGGGATTCTGGTAGACAAGCTGTTGCTGGAGATCGAAACGAGTGGTTCGAGAAGTTGAAGGCAGATGTGATGATCTGGGCCTGAAAAATCTCTCAAAAATAGCCATAACAAGAAACATTGATATGAGAATGGCAGTAGCAACAAAACCCAAGGAAACTGCATTGACTGAGTTGTTGAAGTTCCTCCACTTCTCTTCTTCTCTCTCTGTATTTTGTGCAGCCATCATCATCGCTGGTGCCAGAGCTATGCCGCCGTCCCAATTATCTTCACCCACCATTTAGAGCCAAACCTCAGCAGAAATCTCTCTCTTCTCTCTTCCTTTGTGTCACTGTCATTAACAACTAAGCTCAGAAAAAAATGCTGATGAAAAAGAGAGAAACCCAGTTGTGCATTTCTTTACTTCATAGTGAATCGTAGAGCAGAAAAGCAGAGAAAAACAGAGAGAAAAACAGAGGGAAAACAGAGAGAAAAACAGAGGGAAAACAGAGAGAGAACAGAGAGATGGTTGGAGGTTGAAATGCCTACAGACAGAGGGAGTCTCTAGGCTTTATGGGTCGAATACAAGTCCTGCTTGGGCTAGTTTTTGTTCGGAATTATTAAATATGGACCTTTTATTGGGCCAAGCGTTTATGTCTAGCCACTTAAACGAGTGTGGAAACGGAAAAGCTTCCAAAGTTAGTACATTTTTATGCATTTTTTTGTGTGTGTGGAAGATTGAAACTTTAAATTCCATAAGGAATTGGATATATTTTTATGTTTTAAAATTAAAAAGTTGTGATTTGTGAAGTAAAGGCAACCAACGTCCAAGATTGCCTAAGATAGAAGTTTCCTATTGCTTGTAGGAAAAGAAATCGTCAAACCACCTCAGGTTATGGTTCTTACCAAGTTGAAATTAGCTTGTCATATGATAAGTAGAACACAAAACTGTTGTTGTAGTTACTAATTTTCATCTCTTCATTGAACTGCAATTCTCGAGATGCAGACTAGAATCTGCGGATGTGAGAAGCCTGAACTGAGTTTTGCTCTTCAATGTTGATGAACTTTTCATCTGCACAGGTCTCTTATTGAAAAGCTCAATCATTGATGGACAGTAAAACTGATCTGGCCAGGCCAGTCCTCATTTATCTTACTTAAAAAAAAAAGACTGATGGATGGTTAAAGTTTTAGATTTCTATCAGAAACAAGTCTTTCAATCCCTTGGATGTAAATGGGGTTGCCACAGCCAACGCCATTTTATCTTAAATTGTTTCTCTCGTTCTCCGTTTAGAGCATTCACCACGCATGAGGGAATGGCAAGGACATGATATATAAGCAGGAGAAACAATGTAACAAAGCCTTATTCTGTAACTGTCAGACATTTGATAGCGCGCAGCTGCAAGTCTTGGTTTTGACATGTGATCTCTCTAATTCGGAAGAAATTAACCCGCAATATGCAACTTATGTTGCTAATGAGCAAATGCAGTGCTGTAAACCCTTTTAATAGTGCATAGATTGAGAATACTCAGGATCACCTTGTTGCTGGTGCACCTAGGGGTCTTAAATTGGCTCAAAGCAGAACCATTTCTTATGAAATGTTCCAAAATTTTCTTGAAAGTTCCTTTCTCCACAATGCGTAGCTCTAGAGGCCCAATTGAATTGCTTCTCCTTGAGACCACATAGCCATGATCCACAAATGATGCATCCATCTCTCTACAACATTCACCAAGAACCCTCTCTTCAACTTCACCTTTGATCTCCCAATATATGATGTAGTGGCCTGGTTGAGTTAGCAGATCAGCATGGCTTGTAAAATCAACCAGTTCAGCTTTGGACTTGCTCAGCAATTGAGACCCTCTCTCTACCACTATCTGAAGGTCCTTTTCTGTGTTTTTGTCAATGTTTACTGTCAATATAAGCTTTCTTCTGCATATAAAGTTCAATTTTGGAGTCCCATTGTGGAAACCAGCCACTTCCACTACATCCCCTAACCTGTACCTATAAAGTCCTGAAAACATTATACAAACATTCATTATATTAAAATTTAAAATTGAAACAAAAGCAAGATTTTGCTTTTATTTCCCTCATTTTGTGATGTTTTAACTTCTACAGTAACTCAAATATTGATCAACACATCACACAGATCCTAATGCATATGCTTTTTGAGACCATAATATTATGGTCTTAATTTCATCCACGTATCCCAACTACCTAATTTTATCAAAATGTACTAGTGGGCCATGAGTTTGGGAAAAAGATCAG